TGGACAAACAGCATAACATTACTTAAAGTACATATTTTACACAATCAGGGGCCGGCCCGGTGGCGCACTGGATAGTGCGCCGCTTGGGAAGCGCGGCAGCGCTCCCGTCCGAGGGTTCGGATCCCACGTACAGACCGGCTCCCCCTCGCTGGCTGAGCGAGGCGCGGGAGCAACGCCGAGGCTTGTGATCCCGTCGCCGGTCCCCGGTCCGGTACGGGGGCAACACTGAGGGCTGCGATCCGTTGCCAGACACGGAAAAAAGACAAAAAGACAAAAAAAAAAAGTATATATTTTACACAATTGAATTCCACTCACTTGACCTAAGTTAATAATGTACTGTAACTTAATTGGTCCACTATGTTTTTAGGCCAGAACACTGGGAAGAACTGAAAACCCAGAAACAACAGGATTTTAATACTTAAGTGTTTGCTTTTAAAAAATCCCTAGCAAAGTGTATGGGACCTGCCTTACTTAAAACAGTTAAGATTTTGATTTAGATGTTTAAATTTAAATTTTTGGTTCCCAAAACCAGTGCCTGATTGTGTATCAGAAGGGAGGGAGGAGAGGGGCAGGCTTGAATATGGCAAGATTTCTGGCTGCATTCAACAGAGAGAAAGCACCACTGACGAAAATAACATAAGGAACGTAGGGTGAAGGTACATTTTTGGAGGAGGAGAAAAGCTAAATTTGGTTTGAGACTCATTGCATTTAAAGTGACAGAGGGTATTCAAATAAAAATCTCCTTTGGGCTTCAATAAACAACGGAGCGCCTCCTCAAGATACAGACTTGGGAAGTGGTTACATGGAAGACAGCAGTTGAAGCTCTGAGAGTGGATGACATAGAAACTCAGATCAGAGGGTCAGTGACTGAGCATTAGGGAATCCTCATAGGCAAGGATGACAATAAGAAATATACCACAATTTAGAGAATGTGCAAGTAATCACGTTACAACACAGACAGGGAGGGCCAACTGTCAGACTAGGCTAATGTCAGAATCCTGTCGACAAAGCCAATTGCAAAGCTAATTATCCTGTTCATGATGCCAACTGTAAAGCTAGGCGACCACGCTAGTTGTCAGGCTCTTTTACCTGCCAGTCATCCTGCACCAACTGGGCCGATTGTCGAGCTAGGGCCGGGTCTGGAGCTCACAGACCCCTCAAGCCCATTCACAGACTGGGTTGCAAACCCTTCACATGCCAGGCTGCGTCCCCAGACCCCTTACACACCAGGCTGGGTCACCAAACCCCTCACACACCAGGCTGTGTCACCAGACCTTTTACATGCAGGTTTATGGGCTACCTAACCGGCAAACAGATCCTTGGAAGCCGCAGGTTGGAAATGCATGGCTGCACCGGGCGGGCACCCGAGGCAGTAAACTCCAGCCAAGGTGGCAGCGCTGCGCAGGCGCACTAACTCCACCCACACACAACCTATTCACAGCAAATGCTCGGCAAGATTCTGAGCATCTGAGGGGCCCTGACCATTTTCCTGTATTTTCCCAACACCAACCAAATAAAAATACTCTTCAAAAATCTTGTTAAAAGAACCTGATAGAAGAGAGGGAAAAGACGAACTTAAAAATTCCTATAAATAGAAAGGGAACACATTTGCATTTAATCAAGACTCATTCTGCTAGCCCCTAAGGGGCAGTTATAAGACAGGTGCTCCTGAAACCTGCTTCCTAAACACTGGGCCACTGAGCTTTGACTATGGGGTAGGGGCGACACCAGGGACGTGGTTACAATGCCCAGTGATACAATGCTTTCTCAATGGTCCCTCATACACAGCTTCCAGCATGGACTGCAAGGTTTTCATGAGCTTTTCCCCATTTTCTCCCCCTTTTCTTTTAAACTGATGTCCTAGTAGGAAAACAACTCACAATTAATTACACTGTCTTCTGACAAACTCTGGTTATTTTATTATCTTTTGCACGTTTGCTTTCAGAAAATAATTAACTGCAAGCTTTCATTGTGACACAATATTTAAAAAGAGTACTCAACACAGCTCTTACCTTTCTAGTACAGCAAATGAAACACTGTGTGCCTCTACCTACATTAACCACCACCTGAAAGCCTGACCTCTACCAACTCTGCGAATCCAGGTTCCAAACGCCCTCTCAGAGTCACTGGGTCCATCTCCCCAGTGATACAAGGTTTATCATTCTACCCCACCCCACGTTCCTAAGGATGATGATGAGGGTGGTGACAATAATGACAGTTTATATTATTAACAGTGTTAGACATGGCTCCACGTGCTTTGTCTGCATTAACTCACTCAATATTCACAAAAGACTAAAGGTGAGTCCCTAGGAGATAAGCATGTGAAGAAAATAGGGCCCAAAGGACATCCATGGCTGACCCGTGCTCAGAGCCAGGATTCAAACCCGGGGAGGTGGTAGCCTTTCACCACTGCACCTCTCCAGGCACCTCGAGTTGAAAGGACTTGGGCTGTTCTTGCTACCAGTTACAGTCAACCTGCGGGATTTATGGCATTCCAGCTGCCTCTGCACCTTTTAAAGTGTTTCTCTCATCCTTCCCACCACATAATCATTCCTTCCTGCCTTAAATCTTTTTCCTGGGTGGTCCCTCTTAATTTCCAGCTGCCTCTGCACCTTTTAAAGTGTTTCTCTCATCCTTCCCACCACATAATCATTCCCTCCTGCCTTAAGTCTTTTTCCTGGGTGGTCCCTCTTAACATCAACTCTCAGGGACTTGCTGAGGTCAACAGACAGTGAATGGCTGCTCCAGTGACAGGCAGGGCTTGGCGGGCAGGAAGGGTGCCCAGGGCACTGGTGAGCAGGGGACCCAGGTGGGAGGCCAAGGTATCTAGCCAGGTGGGGCTGCAGCCCAGGAGGGGAGAGGGTTCAAGTGGCTCGAGGTTCAGATGCAGTTGAATGGTAGGTGAGTGACCGGGAAATAGGGAGGGGAGGAGGGGGAAGGGGAGAGAAACGAACAGGTGAATTAGCTCAAACTGGGATGTCAGAATTTAAGTCACTGGACGTGAAGCAGTTTCAGGGAAATGAGTGCCTGCCAGGCCCCTTTTACCTGGAGACCCCTGAACACCGTCCAGACACCTCATAAAATAGAACTGCCAGATGAAATGACACTTTGAAGAGATGGCAAATGGGAGAGAAGAAAGAAACACAAGTACCCCAGCATTCCTTTCCTTCCAATACCACAACTTTGCAACAATAATCTCCACTCCAAAATACATTCACAACGTACCACAAGGACCTCAATTTATCCTCAAACACTTTCTGCTTTTTCACTCTAACGCAAGGAACCACCACCACCAAAAGAGCACACGCTATATACACTAATCAGCTGTGTTTGCCCTCAGCTCAGCTGGATCCTTTCCCCAGCACGACTCTGGGTTTCCCATTCAACCCTTTCTGAACCAAATTCTACACCACAGCAGGCGGAACGTACATCAAAAGGAAAGAAATTCAACTGGGAAAGAGGAAAGCTGATGGCTGGAAGGACCTTCAGGTAATCCACTTACCTGAAAAGTATGAAAATCTGCATGCTTACTGGGAATTGGCTATTTCAAAAAACGAAACATGGGAGGTCTAATCTTCCAAACCATTCAAGGAGTTCAATTTGGTCCTATTTCTCTAAAAGTATCTCAAAGTAGAAAGTACAAGAAGAGGGAAGAGTTTTCATTAAAAATTAATCTGGTTGCTCTAAAATGTAGAATAGTTCATTGCAACTTTTAAAATAAGCATGTAATTTGAAAAACTTAAGAATTAATGTTGGGCATTTTTTCCAAAATATCTCATCTCAAGCATGATATATATATATCTAAAAATTTCAAACTATTTTCCTTTGGAAATTATTTCAGACAAAAATGGTAACATTAAATATAAGAGTATGGTTTAATTTTTATAATGACCAAAAACTAATACAAAGAAAAAATAAGTGCTTATTTAAACTCAAAAAGGCTTCTGACGAAAAAAAGAAAAAAGTGTTCAATTTACTACTTGTTCTTTTGGAATGAGTGAATGTAT